TGATCAATCTCCACCCTGCCGCCAGAGCCCATGTTGGGCTGGTGGTCCTTGTCCGCCTCAGCTCCCAGCCATGGGACACCTACCAGATCCAGCTCTTCGCCAATTCCTTTCTCTCCGATGATGTAAACCTTCTTGCCAGTCTGCTTGAAGCTGGTCTGTTCTAGGTAGGCCGCAGCGGCGAAAGACGAGGAGAAGATTTCTTCGGGCTGCACATCCAGGCCGAGGGAAGTGAACTTGGACTTGTACCCGGCTCTGCTCTTGGTGGAATTGTTAGTCACGAAGAAGAGCTTCTTCCCCTCTGAACGAAGGTTGGTGATTACTTGAGGGATCCCCGGAATGAGGGAGTCTCCACGCCAGATCACGCCATCACAATCGAATATGAAAATATCCACATGGTCGAGAATTTTGGCAGGCACAGCCAGCTTTTCTGCTTTGTTCATTACAGCTGTTGCCCGACATATGGTGCTGTTCCGCCTCTTTGCAGAGCGGCACCCGGCTTGAAGCAGTCCAGAAGCTACTGCAGCACCCAAGGCTGACTTACAGCCTGAAGAGAAGAAGCTGCTCTCTGCGGGCGCGGCCTTCGCCTTCGCCGACGATGCGCCTCTCAAGCTCTGAGCTGGCTGAGTGGCACCAAACAAGGTGAAAGCTGCCGGACTGCTTAGTCCCACGGCTGGAGAGGCCATTCTTGCTGCCATGAAGGATAGACTGGCAACCGGATACAGAAACCTTGAGATAACGTGGATTGCCCAAGAACCTGCACTCAAAGAAGCAAGCACACACGAAAGCATGAGGTGACTTGCTGCCAACAGCCCAGGCATGGCCCAGCACGAAGCAATTCCAAGTTCTTCTCCGCGGTCTCGTCTAATGCTCCCCTAGACAACCACATCCCACTATGTACAGCGCCAAGGTAAGGCCAGGATTGGCAGAGCAACTAATCTGCAGTTTGCAGCCGCGCGCAGCTCATCACATCAAAGACCCAGCGCTGAATTGTGCCGTCAACAGCCTATATTTGCCACCTCTCACCATGCACCTTCAGCTGGCAGCATGACCAAGCGTCTATTGACACTGTGGTCTCAGTGAAACAAATCATGATCCATGGGCAAGATTACTTCAGAGAATCCAAGATCTTCCGTGAACACTGAGTTCTATATGAGGAGAATCAGGACGCAGAGTGCTCACACACGCCGCCTTACCGATTTTCTGGATCAACATACACATCGAAGATGTACCTGCCACGAGTTGCAGGTGCGCGGGGCTTTGACAGCTGCATGATTCAGCTGGTTCCGTAGATCCTCGTTTGAAAGCCCGACAGTATCGTCTTCAGGGAGCTCATGGATTGCGGAACACAGTCCCCTGGCGGCCTGTGACCCTTATGCTGATGACGCGCTCATATTTGGCGAACGCCTTCTGTTAAGAGATCAGCACAAACAGCTGGTAACTCCCACCTGCCACCTTCGTTGGCTGCCACTCTGTCTTGAAGCAATTCCGCCAGATTCTGACAGACAGGGTCATGCTATGCTCACTTCACCAGCTTTAAGGCGTGCCTTCTTTGCTGGGTCCTTCTGGGAGGGCGAGCCCTCGGAAGGGGGCGAGTCTGGAGTTTGCCCCTGGCGAGCTCGCGCAGCAACTCATCAGCTTCCGATCTCGTAGCCCTAGGTATGCCAAGACCACTTCAGTACGGAGACCTGAGTGATCCTGAGTGGGGCTTGCTAGGGACAAGCGCGTAGCAAGATACTCTATTCTAGGCAGTAGGATTTCAGCAGAACCTAACTTACATCTACATCCAGCGCGCTCACCTCGACTTGAATCCGGCACCCACCCTGTCATAGGCCAACCACAGGAAGGTGTCAAAACAGTCGCATACAAGGCCGCATGTGGACAACTTGCTGCCTGTTGTTGGTGTCAAAATTGTGCAGGTGTCGCCTGACCAGAAAGCTCTTCAGGCACATCCAAAGCCAACTCCTGCCACGAACACGTGGATGGCACCAGCTTCTTTCTTGGCTTTCATTGTGCGCATTTGTGCGCCTGCAGCACGTTTCCCAGCTCCAGGGCTCTCCGTCCGGGAGTCCAGGAAGGTGAACGCATAACTCTTGCTGCCGGCTCCGGGGTTGAGACCTGGCTCAACTCACAAGTCTGAAACCTTCTCCTTAGACTGTCTGTCGCTCGACACTGCTGCATGCAGAGCAACTGGTGCCAAACGGAACCTAGCAGTTTACAGGACGTGCCTAAACATCCGGGCCATGCAGTCTTGGTTCATGCCTTGACTGACAAGGCCATGACTACAATTACTCTGATACAAAGACCTTCTTAAGCAGTAATCACACATCGGTTCATACGGCAAAAACTCGTGCAGCTGCCTGGAAAACCTTCTCCATGCCTTCATGTCACACAAGTTTCGCCGATTGCACTTCTTGAACCGACGTCCTTGAGATTTTGCTTTAACTTCCCAACGTCCTAACCCTGAAGGCTTGAAGCTGAAAGCACCAGGCCTTAGGCCTTCGGTTTAGCTTGAGCTCCACAAGTTGCTGGAGGGTAACCCATCCCCCGTGTTTTCGTGCGAATGTAGAAAAGCCTGCCCACCTCAAAGGTAGATCCACGGTTAAATCATAAGTCAAAGTCAAGGTCCATTATCCAATCCACATGTACTAACATAGCCAGGCTTTCTGTCGAATTTGGTATTAAGACAGCAGGCAAAATCTGGAGTCCATCAGAAACTGAACTTGCCGAGAAATGTCGTGAAATGAACGTTGTGAGAAAGCATCAACAGCCGCGGCTGGGCACTCGATAGCTGAAGAGGGTTCGGTGTCGAGCCTGCCCTGCTTCTTGAATCCACATGAACCTTACTTGAACCTCATATTGACGAGATTTGACAAGTACTCTGACGTCACGAGCAACACTCCGAGCTTGGGCCACCACCAACCAGACAGCCGCTTGCCATCCACTCTGACTTCTACGCTGAGACAGGAAGCAGAAGCGAAACTTCCGGCGCCATCGCGAACTGCTGCTTGGGCATGTTGGCGCTAAAGGAACAGATATGCGAAGGTCAACTTCTCCACAAGTCGCCCAACATCGTGATCCACAAGCAAACTTCTTGCTTTGCAGGCACATCAGGCACCTCGCCTGTTAATTCCAAAGTGCCACTTCAAACCAACACGCACTTAAAACGCTTTGCTAGTTCTCCAGATTCTGCTGGCATTTGAGAAGAGCGGGCAATGTTGCGACGAGCTTCAACTGCGCAATGTGCTCCGCATTTCACGAGGAAGCTTTGCCTGCTTCGGCTTGCGGGATGCGGCGCGCGTGCAGCCCAGTTCTCTGAGAACGCGTCAGGCATGTTTGCCCTACGAGTAGCAATTGTTTGGAGAAGTTTTGCATCCTCTGCCTTGATGTTGTCTCTGGAACAGAAATGTTAGCATGCACCCTTTGTGAATCTTAGTGAGGCATAGGCACTGGTGGAGCCAGCACGAAGACTTCAGAAGCTTGGCGCCCGGGCAGTTTGTTTTTTTCAAGCCTCCTCCTCCTTAATTAGTTGTCTGCGCTCACACTCGAGCAAAACGATGCAATCTGGCAGAAGTTGGGCTTTTGGCTATCAACGCTCAGACTTAGCCCCCTTAGTGTGAAGTTGGGGGCCAGTAGAGCTGTGCTACAAGTAGGGCCTAAGGCCTAAAGGAGAAAGCTTTTGATTATCTCCTCGTCACCCAACATTTGAGACTCGTCCAGGCGGGGCAAACGCTTGAGAGGTGCGAAGGCTTCGCAGATCTTCACAGCGACATGAGCCGCGGGTCATTCAGGCGTCTTGGCGTCTTGTGGAAATCGTGTTTTGGCAAGGTGTCCCGCGCAACAAATGACCGAAGAACACTGTGTTCAGCGCTCTTGCTGCAAGCAATCCAAGTTCTATCTGGAAGCTCGAATGCAAATGGGCGAGGCGAACCGGAGACCTCCTTGAATCGAGAGGCAGGTCTCCGCACCATGCGATGAAACTGACTGGTGATGTGGCAGCCGCTAAAATATTTCAACACACAAAAAGCGAATAGACCTTGCCTCCTCCTGAAGCTCTGGAGGTTTGTTCTCTTTCCCGCTGTCCTGGCGCAGAGAGCATGGGAGGATGCACATGCAATCTGCAAGAACGGCACGAAGCCGAGTGCTGGGCAAAACAAGCTAGACTCCTGCTCAGTGGACTCCGAGCTACTGCCTGGGGTATCGTTTCGCTGCAGCATCCTGCCCTGAACAGACACGGAGGATGCTGCAAACAGCTCGGAACAAGAAGAAACAAGACATGTTTCTTTCTGCTTGAGAAGTGATGCTCTCTCGCCTCTCGGATAGGCGTGAGGTTCTCATTTTGCTCAGCCATCGGGCTAGTCTCAGTGCATGCAAACTGTGCACGAGCGACCTTTGGCATGGTTGCATAGGTTAATCCAAAGGTTTGGACACGGGGTGTTGCTAAGCAACCTGGTTTACCGAAGGGGTAGTCACAGGCCGCACTCTTTGCAACATTTTGCAACAAGCTGTTTGGGCCATGCTCAGGCCATGCTGCACCACACAGAATTTGTCTGCCATTGCAAGCAAGCTGCCGATCTGCGCGTGCGGCGAGGTGGCGTCTGTGTGAAGCTTGTTGCAGGCGAGGTAGTGTCCATTGTCGAGCTGAAAATGAGCTGAAAATGCTTCACTGGTCTAGGCATCGTGAGAATTCTGTGCTACAGGGCTGTGCCTGGCCGATGGCTCCGCTCGAAACCTGGACAGCAACTCAGCTTGCTGAAGATGCATTGAAGATCCCTAAGCTGCTGAGCAGTGGGGCTCTTCGTCCACAAAGCAGGCATCAGCAGGACGCTTGCGACTTCGAGAGATGTACCTTGCAGGTTCATTCTAAATAATGTAGTACTCGTTGTCCCATGTTTTTCGCTCCTGTGTGTCAGACAGTCCAGGCCCCCAGCAAGAGGCTCCAGTTGCAAATGGTCAAAGCAATTTTCAGCAGGTCGAACCAGGCGCTATGACATACCAGCTATGCTGAAAAAAGCTTCTGCCACGGGTAACTGCCCATCAATGCCCATCCCATCTATGGGCCGCTTCCGAATTTCAACGTGACCCGAATTTCAACGCGACCCTCTTTGCAATTTGCGCAGGCGCACCCTGCAGGAGCCACGGCACCAAGAGCCCCAAAGCCTTTCAGAATGCTTCAGCTTCACGGGGGTCAATGCCTGGCCTGGCTTGTGGGGGTCTTGGTCCACGTTCTGCCACAAGCGCCTTGGATGACACTGCCTTGGGAATCCTGGCGATCTCCAGACCTCTTGGCATCAATTAAATCGACAGATGAAACATATGGAGCGCCCTTGGTACAAACCTCGCAGAGTCCCGTACGCAAGCCCACCCAAACTGCTCGATGAGGAGTCCGCCAAGCTGAGGCCAAACCTTGCTTTGAGGAGCAAATGGAGCAAGGAGTCAAAAGGTCGAATGCATCTCAAGGCAATATCATGAGGCTCCCCGCTCTCAGCAGAAACTGCTCTTGGAACTTGCGTGTTCTTCTGTAAGGAGGCACAGCCATTGTGCGGATGCGATTCACTTTCCTCCAACACTGTGGCCGCTGCTCACGACGTGTTGTTTTGGACGCCTTGCACGCTCTGCATGAATCAGCAAGCGTCATCTTCAGCTGCTGCTGATTGATCTTTCAAGCAGGAAATTCATACTGCAAGCTGCTGCATCCGTACTGTACAGTTGTCCTACGCATTGCAAGGAGACCTCATCCTTCACCAGCTGCTTGGATGGCCTTCATCAGGAGAGGTTGCTGCCAAACTTCCACTTGCTCTGCAGCCACTGAGATACAGACGCGGGCAACGCTGATTCAGGAGCTTCATTTTCTTGCAGGGTCCGCGCTCCTAGCAAATCAAATCATGTCATGGAGAATGCTGGGGGATCTGCCCACCTGCCCCTGTAGGTCGCGCCCCGTGTCGCCTGCGGCCCAGCACTTGAAAATACTTGCATCAGCACATGAAAAACGATTGGCCTCATTGCCCGCGTGTGCTGGGGGCAACAAACCCCTAAGCCCCCTTGCCAAAATTGGCCACGCGGTTGTGAAGAAAGCAAAATGCATCCAGGCTGCCCCAGTTCAGCAATGCTCCGAAAAGTGCAGAAGCTAGTTGACAGCGAACAGTCTGTAGTTTGATGCGGCACAATCTGCAGATTGCCAAGCCGACATGCACTTGAAGCAAGAAGAAAGCGCGGCTGCGCTTTTTGAATCCCTTTTTACTGTGACCAGGCTGCATGCTCATGCCCCAGCAGTCCACCTGGTGTCCAACCCCTCCCACATATGGGCTTGCCCATACTGTACAGGGCCCCAACAGTGCAGCACGTGCAACGAGCTTGCACAACAGCTGCTAGACCATCAGCAGCGCCGAGGCTCAACCTCAGGCTTTGGCATCAAAATGCACCAACTGCCAGTTTGCAACCTTAGTCTGACACTTCCATTTAGGCACCTGGGTCTTCGCCGCAAGCCTGAGGCAGGTACTCATGGCCATTGCTTTGACGCCCAACTTCAGCTTTCTGGGGAGAACGCGTGCTTGTGCCTCTTCTGTCTCATCCTGTGGTCACGACATGCTGCGGTAGAATTAGACGACGGAACTGTGTGACATCGGAGTCAAGGGCCCCTTTTTAAACTTTTGACCTCGCGTACACACGTCAGACCGAACTGTTGATTGAACAAATGGCTTGCTGCGACCAATTTCCTAATTGGTTCATGCATCTTCCCTGCCACAACGGGACACGCATCAACATCCATTAAGGCAACCAACAACCACAAACAACAAGCACGAACAGTCTGGCCCAGGGTTGTTGACCCAAAAAATCATTGCTGGGGAGCAACGCATGTTCGCACAAACCTGCAACGAAGTGCTGTCCACATCCTACATCGCAAGGCAAAGCCCGTTGCACATCACTGGCATTTGCTGCGTTTACAAAATGCAGCCGCCATACAACACTTAGCAACAGCTCTGAATTTATTAGATGATAGCTCACTGTTCCAACCAACAACAAGAAAAACTTCGCAACAAAGCAGATACAGGCATCCGCGCCCCATTTGGCATCACGTTCCCATCGCGGACATTGAGGGGGTTGAAACAATTTTGAAGAATTCTTGAGCGCCTGTCCCTTGGCCCTCAGCCTCAGGCCTACTTGTCGACCATGTTGCGCATCATGACTTCCGAGGCAAACAAATGCTGCACTAGTCGCTAGCCTTTTTTCACGCTGGCAAGCCAGACGTCCCCAGGCGGTTTATCAGCACAACTTCCAAATTGACTTCTCTCCCTGGCCCGAAAAAATGGACGGGTGTGTCGGATCTTTTTTTGGTAGGGGGGGTCCTGGCGGTGAACAAGTTCTCTTCAATGAGACTTTTTTACCTCCCCCAATTACAAACCCAAGATTTTTTGTGTCTCGCTCAGCACCATGTCTGAAATTTCTTTCAAGGCCAATTGGCTGTTCCTTCGATGGACGAAACATGTTTTCGTTGGCCTTGCTTTTGGGCGAGTGGCTCTTTTGTTTCTGTGGCGATGAGCCTTGATTCTGTAGATGAAGGAAGGACGGAAGAGCTGGTGTCGAGTAGGAGACTGGGGAAGACGGACTTAGAGAAACCAAGGAAGGCATGAGAAGAAAGACAGAAGAGGAAGAATGATGCATGGTAAGAAACCACGAAAGACAGAGAGAGAGAGAGAGAGAGAGAAATAACTACATAAATCCAAAAGAAACCATAGAAATCGCAGTTAGTAGTAAGTAAAACAGGACATGACAACAGAAGTGAGCAAAGATAAGAAAGCAATAAAGAAAGGCGGAAACAACGACAGAAAGAAAGACACAAAAGAAATGACTACACAATAGAGGTTTCAACCGTACTAGGTCTCTTCTTGCCAGTAGTATATAACTCCTACGTGTGTGACTAGCGTTGCTTGGCTGTTATTACAATAATTGCGCTTTTTGCTTCTGTTTTCGATGACATGACCCCGGCACAATGATGACACGCGGATTTCGGGACCCTGTCTATCATTGCTCATGAAAGGTGAGCACAGCGTCGGGGTTGGGGCTTTCTTGTAGGTCCCTGTAACTTCTTTGGATCTACTTTCTAGACCTATGCCCCCCCTTCAAAAAAGGTTATGGTCGGCCAAGTGGCTGAACTTGTTGCTCCTATCTTCGCTTTCACGTTGTCTGATTAGGTTCAGGAGTTACCTCCGTGCTGTGATGGAGACGCTGCCGTAGAGGGGCAGGCGTTCACATCCAGATGCGGAGGAAGGGCTACTGGAAGAAGCAATGGCTGGAGCTGTTGACAAAGTGCCACATTCTGGCGTCGAAGCGACTGTTTCTGGTGGCGAGCGCAGTTACCCTCTTGGTAAGTACGGTACAAATGGTACAAGTACGGTATAGGGGTTACAATGGGGAGCGTGCAAGGGCTATTCCAGGGATCCATTCCCCCATTCCCGTGTAGAGCTTGGGGCTAAGGGTTCAAAAAATTTAGAGTAAAGCCGAGAACCCCAACCACGACCCTTGTCAGCACTGTCGATGACAGTGGCTGCAGCGTGGGGGTTCAGGGAGGGTGTGAGGTGGGTTTTCTGAGCTGTGGCTTCAGATGACCAACGTCTAGAGATGTCTAGAGATACACCTTCAGATTCAATCGCTGCTTCCTCTTATGCTTGTAGATCGAAAGCCCCAACCAGGCACAAGTCCGGTGGACTGCTATCAGCTGAAGACTCAGCTGACAAGTCTGGAGATGGGGCAACAGGACCTTGGGTGGATCAGAAGGCTGGAAGGGATGTGCATTCGGTTGCTGCCACAGCCTCGGACAGGGAAGTTCTGGGCACGCATGCGGGTCGAATGGAGCTGGAATTGCAATCTTCACGGAGATAAACCTGATCTAGCGCACTCATTCCCTGAGCAGACCCCATCGCGTCACCCACCGCGGTCTCCACGCAGTTCACACCCTTTCTTGTCCGAAAAGGCAAAGGCTGAAGCTGAGTTGGCCAACGCAGGGTCAGCGGCTTTGGATGCAGCCACAGAAACATTGGTTATCTCTGCCGCCGGTGGCAAGTCGTCCTGCAGACCTGGATGAGCGCTTAAAATGGAATCGCAAAATTTCAACTTGGAGATTCAAATCAACATGCAATCAAAAAACTTATTCCACCTGCCAATTGTGGACTGTCACAGGGATCGTGGGGGTCGCGATCGGCGTAACTCTCGTCGCCTTCGGAGCCTTTCGGAAGATTGCGGGGCCGCAGCCATCGTAGCTGTCATCGCTTTGGACAAATGGCGGAGGCAAAAAGGTTTGTTCTCTCAGGGAAACTAACTTTACGCTGACACGTTTGTTTCCGCACAAAAAGCGTTTGTTTCGAAACCTGCGGGAGAGCGAGGGAGGACCCAGGAATTCGGAAACCGCCTCTGAAAATGTACGACCACATCTGTCTCGCATGCTAGACTCCTCTTCCGTCGTTTCCGGATTCTGCCCGTGCGAGAAAAAAAAAGAGAATTCAATGTTAGAAAAAGCCCGCATTCGGAAAACGCCTCTGAAGACGTACGACCACATCTGTCTCGCCTACTGGGCTCTGCTTCCTTCGTTTCCGGATTCTGCCTGTACGAAGAAAAAAAAGAAAGTTCAATATTTGAAAAAGCCTGCACTCGGAAAACGCCGCAGCCAAATTCGGAAAACGCTGCAGCCAGATTCGGAAAACGCCCCTGAAAACGTACGATCACGTCTGCCTCGCCTGTTAGGCTCTTCTTCCTTCGTTTCCGGATTCTGCCCATGCGAAAAAAAGAAAGTCAATATCATCAGAGTAAACCCGCATTGGGAAAGCGCCGCCGCCAGATTCGGAAGATGCAAGGAAAACGTTCGATTACGTCGGTCTCTGTACTACATCCTTTGCCCTTCGTTTCCGGATTCTGCTCGGACGAATCAGGGCTTTTAGCATTGTTGAGCCTTGCAGGCCTGCAAACTTACCGAGAAGCCTAAACTCCTAAAAACCGTAAGCGCTACAAACCTTACAAGCACCCTAAACACTAGAAATCCTAAACCCTAAAAACCACCTAAACCCTAAAAACCACCTAAACCCTAAAAACCACCTAAACCCTAAAAAACATTTAAACCCTAAAAACATTAAACCCTAAAAACCACCTCAACCCTAAAACCCCCTAAACCCTGAAAACACTAAACCCTAAACACCCCAAACCCTAAAAACCATCTAAACCCTAAAAACCACCTAAACCACAAAAACCTCCTGAACCCTTAACACCACCTAAATCCTAAAAACCCTAAATCCTAAAAACAAAATTCAAACAAACACTAAAAACAATTTACATGTTTGTGAACCACTAACAACACTAAAAACAGTAAACCCCAAAAAACAGCGAAACCCTAAAAACAACCTAAGCCCTAAAAAGCACCTAAACCCTAAAAACGCAGTGAACCCTAAAAACCGCCTAAACCCTAAAACCACCCTAAAGTTTTCCTAAAAACCACTAAACCCTACAAACCCCTAAACCTTAAAGTAAAGACCCTAAATTCTAAACACCCTAAACCCTAAACAATTCGGAAGCCAGTTGTCCAGAGATGCTGAGCTTGTAGGAACTGTCTCTGATGACTATCTTCTGGGAACAGAGAAGCCTAGGTCGTGAGTTGCACACTTTTCTAGTCGTCTAGAACGGTTTGAGGAGGCAAAATTTGGTTAGCATCTAACAGTAGGCTGGGATATGAGGACATGGTAGTCATCCTGACAGGAAGGGTAGATCAAGCCAGACTTGCATGTTCCATGCTTCGTAAAGGTTTACTGTAGGTTGTTGTCTTCAAGTCATGAGTTAGTTTTGTGGTTGTAAGCTGTGGAAGGTGAGTCAAGTCCATATCCTTTAGCGATGTAGCAGTGGTTTGTAGGTGATGAGGTTGTGTGTGAGACATTGTGGTTAGGTTTGTGTGAAGGTTTCGGAGCCCACCTCCTTAAAAGACTGCTGGACTGCTTTGAACAGCTTAGTTTTTCCAGCTGCGGCACATGGATCATCTGTCTCCGGGCTCTGTATGAAGTGCCGCAAGTTTAAGGAAAGGGTGCTGGCTTAACGACCATCTCTTGCTCTCTAGTTGGCTTTTGGAATTTAGGCTAAGTGGTCTTGTTGTGTTTGGAGAATTCAGTTTAGATTGAGAAGTGTTTCAGCGTTTTTGTTCACAATCTGTTCGAGAGTTGTTTCACAAAACGGAGCGAGGATTTCCATGTCCCCATCACATGTGTAGGATGTGTAGCTGTACAGTGTAGGACAGCATGTCACCATGTTTGTACCTGCACGCGTGTTTCAAGAGTAAACAGGAATGAGCCGTAGCTGTGCCGCTACTATTGTGTTTAGAGTTGGTTTTAGTGTCCTCCCGTGGTTCCAGATCAACAGTTTGTATCTTGCTGCTCGGCCTGCTGTAGGCAGCTCAAACATCAGCTAACTGGACCGAAGCCACTGTATGCTGGGAACACGGTGTCTTCCTAGTTAATGTCTTCCTTCCACAGGCCAGCCGGAGCAGTCACCGAATGGTTGGTTCCTCTTGCTAGTGGCTGCAACAGGGTCACAGCTGACGCGCGTCTGATTTGGCAAAGGGATCCGATCAATGCACACGAAAGTTAAGTGGAATCGTTGAATTCTCTCTTCACGACTTCCCTCTCCAAGCCTGGAGGCGCTGCAGCTCGGCATTGATTTGCTGCTGCCTCAAAGGCTCTCAACCGCTCCAAGCTTGTCCGGCCACGCCACGCAAACAAACCACCCGAAACGGAACCAAACCCTAAACCCCTAAACGCCTAAACCCTAGGCTCTAGACCCTTAACCCAAGACCCTAAACCCCAAACCGTGAATGAGGACTTCAACGTCCAAGCCTCAAAGATCTGACGCAGAACTACACCTTGCATACTGGGAAAAAAACGGCTCTTTTTTCAAGGGTGTATAGCTGACACATAGGAAAGTTACTGGGGTAAAATTGAAAAAAGAACCCAATCCAAATCGAAAAGAGCACGAGGAAATGGAAAATACGTTTTCGGGGCTTAGGGATTAGGAATAGAAATTGAAAGTACAATAAATTGGAACATGAAATGGAAAGTATGTTTAAATTGGCAGTCAGGATCCCCTAAACCCCGAACTCTAAATGAAGATGTACAAGCTGCTTTGAAAGGTATTGAGGCACCGGCGCTCCATGTATTATCCGGGCAGCTGCTTGGCGGATTACAGCCTGAACCCAGGAGAACGTTTAGTTCCAGCGCTCCCACGTCGCATATCACGCGCGCACCAGTTCTGGCCAAAAGCATGCCTCTTGATGAGCTTCTCTAGATGTGCCTGGATTGGAAGGGGGTAATGCTGCTGCAACGCTCCATATTAGTAAGGCAATGACCGCAGTCAAGCTTGTAAAGCTTCTTGAGTGCGGATTCGACCATGGAGATCGGTGACTGTGCCTTTGAAAGATGATAAGCAGCTACTTACACTGGCATGGGTTGCATTTGCAGCTGAGACAGAGGCAACCTCTTCTACCTTGCACAAGCCAACCTGACAGCTCATTGCTCTGATATTCCCGTGTCCTCGATCTAGCATGAAGTCCTGCAGAAGCGCCCGTGCCCGCGCAGAATGGACCTTCACTCCAAGCTGACAGCACCCGGAAAGCTCCAAACAGGTCAAAGGACAAAGGATGAACACATGCAATATCACGTAACCCACGTGTGCACGTGCATCCAGGCCAACTTGCATCGCGCGATGCAAAATGAGGCAATACCAGCACCAGCGCAATGATCCACCTGGGTCCTCATGCTACGTGTAGGGGCACAACTTAGCTTCACAATTCCCTACCCTGCCCTCCCTCCGTACTTCTTGAACAACACATCGTTAAAGAATCTGAAGGCCTGTGATACAGAGGCAAGACCTGCATTCCAAAGCGCTGAGGGCCCGTTGCCAGACTACTTTGGGGAGGCCATGATTTCAGGCCTTTAGGATCTGCGCCATGATATAATCATAATCGGCTTTCGGAGGGGTGAGGGGGCGGGGGAGTGGGGTAGGGGATTTCGTTGCGAGGCAGCTCTTTTCACCAGCATCAGCATGTGGCACGACGGAATCGCAAGGAATCCAATGACATCAGATGGCATGCTGCACAAATCTTCGCTGCAAAGGAGTTGACGCTTCTTGACAGAGGAGGGATGCACACACCGTGAACTTAAGGCTTTCCCACAGCCTGTTTGATAGAAATTGAAGCAATTGAGCTGCTGTGAGCAAAACGAGAAAAGTCATCCGCGCTCCCAATCCCATTTTCTAGGAGTCCTTGTGAGCCCCAGAAAATGCAGGATCAGGTTTATGTCCTACTGTATCAAGAGAAGAAGCAGAAATAGGTCCGCGGAAGGGGGATTGGTTGGGAATTCTGATGGCTCAGATAATAGGAGGAGGGTGAGTCACTCCTGTCTCCAATGCCATTGTTGGATTCGCGGACCCTTTAGTAGGACCTCCAACATCCTCCAACAAAACTGGGAGTCCTTGTGCGCTCTAGGGAACATCAGGTTTCTGTCAACGCATCGCTATTGCAGCAGTTGTGCGTAGGCACACGGTGAGTGGGTGCAGCCATGTGTGCTGAGATCGTCCACACGTGCTTCCTTTGAATCTTCATGCAAGGGTGCTCTTACAACATTTTCCACGTCGAGGGGCCCCTTGAGTTATCCCAGGCTCGACACTTCGCGAAACGGACAACATCATTGCGCGCTTCGCTTTTTGAAGGCAGAGGACTTAGTGGGCTTCTGCTGGGGCTTGTGCTACCCAACGTTTCTTAATAAGAGAAGAAACAGAAATACGTTCAGCGAGGGAGATTGGTTTGGGATCAATGTAGCCCAGCTACAAGCAGGCCACCTCCCCAATCCCATTTTGGGATGAGGTTGCCAAATAGGAGAAGAAACAGAGTTAGGTACTGGAAGGGGGCCTTAGAGCTGGTCGCATTTGGGGTGGAGCCTTTGGCTGGCTTTCTTCACTCCAGGACCAGCTAAACGCTCCTTGTGCAAGCTCCCCACCTACTAGAATCCCTCATTGCCGGCCCCTGCAGGCCCTTGAGTCTCTACAAAGGACACTAAGCCCACGATCTCGAGTCATCTGAGCAATCGGCTACATCACACAGACTCCGTCCAACAAAAACATGTGCACCCAGACCTATTCATACCCCCAACCACACTCCAAAAATACGTCCGGAAATTGGTGGGGTGGAGATGGCGGTGGGGATCATATTCGAAACTTCCATTGTTGTCGTCCGCTGATCATGTTTTGGGTCACCGTTATTGACTGCCTCAGAAATCCATCGCTTTGCAGGTCCCAGTCCACACTCTGGAAGCCTTTGCGGTTAAGCCCCATTCTTTGGTGCTTTTTCTTTGACTGCGCCCGAATCTCCAAACACAATCAACCGAAAACTAGCCAAGATGTAACGACTGCCGCTACACATCGCCGCACCAGAGCTTGCTCGTTCGGCTCCCGATCCTTGGAAATTGCCCATGCTGCCTTGGCATGAGGCGTTAGGATAGGCCCGCATGCAGTTTTGCTGAGTTTGTACTTGTTGGTATCTTTGAAGGGGTATCAGCCGGTGGCGGAGGTTCCAGCGGATGCCAAGCTTCTAGCCTCGTCACATGGTAGCCTGCCATGTTATATGTTGAGGAGCTGGCACCTGGGATTCGGCAAAGGGGCAGCGCCTGAAGCCGGTGCGAAGCTCTACAGCACCTGCCCCTCGCATTACGATGAGACGTGTGCCAACGAACGCCCTGCCTCCGTTGCAGCACCAAAGTTGAGACGAGGCATGAGGCAGTCGAAGAGCGCCGCCTACAGATGCTATCGGAAGGACTGCCAAAGGCAGCAGATGCCAGAAGCGCACGGCAGCGCACCATATCATTCCAATGGACCCTCTCGCACAGCTGGCGCACCTATCCACCCAGCTGGTTGCGGTGTGCCATAAGGTTACGCCAAGAAGAGAACCCGGCCATTCCACAGTAAGTAGCTGCCAATCCCTGCAGCGCCTGCCTCATGGCCATGGACTTTGCATGTGAAATCAATCAGCCCAGCTAAGAGCCAAGCAATGAGCCCCTGGAGGCTGCAAAGGCGTGAGCAACTCCTGGCTCGGAAGGCTCGGAGAGAGAAGGCATCGCAGCGCAATTTTCACATGAGGCCCTCACGAGCAGGAGGGTTCTCGGCTGCAAGTTCCCGCAAGGCCAGGGCTGCCCAGAAGCGTCGATGTCTGAAAAATTAAAGCTTCAGCTCTCCGAGCAAGAGAACAACTCTGCGTTCCTGAGTGTTGGACAGGGCGGTTACGCGCTCCCGGTCCTGTAACATCTTGAAAAGCTGGGAGGTATAGGAGTAGTATAGTGCTTGGATGTGCTTGGCCATACAACACTTCCTGCCGCCAGTCATTGCCTCCACCAGGAAGCGGCCCACGGTGTCCCATTGACTGCAGCAAGGCTAAAACTCTGCTCCCACCATGCCCCCACATGATCTGACATGTAAACCTAGCTCTCGTGTCTTCGTTCTTCGGTTGGTTCTTTTCGCTCAAGCGTGTGAGTCCAGCTTCGGCCTGCTTCAACAGAAAGTGATGCGAGACTCCGACTGCGTCAGAGACGGCCTGTGACAAATTGCTTCGTAGGGGCCGTCTACCCTGCAGTCCTTACCGTGGCTGCGGCCCGATCTCTGGGCTGAAGCCTCTCGTAGTAGCTGAGATATCTTGACCAGTCCTCATGCAAGCTGATCCGAAAGATGGGATCCGTGACATGCTAATATGAACTGAATCAGGGCCCGCAATCGGAGAGGCAAAATGCAAAAACCCTCAATGCGCCCGCCCATCCGATTTGAAAGAACGGCCCACAGTAGGATCCCTTTGCTTGGGGTACAGTATTGGCCCTCAGGGCACACATGCCCTCCAAACTTCAAATGGTCTGAGGCTTTGTCCGGCTCGATACTTACGCTTGTTGCAGGTGTGGCCAGGAAAATCAAATGCAAGTCGTTGTCCAAGCCTGGAGAAATTTCTTCTGACACTGAGGTGCGCATGGAGACGAAAGGAAAGCGCCAGACAAAGGCACTTCCGAGCCCTCTCTAGGTCGGAGAAGACGCTCAGCGCCTCCACTTCAGAAGAATGGAGGGGCATAACTTTGAATGGTGCGGAGCATGCTTCTGCTTCTCTGACACTCGGAGTCATGGATATCTGCAGCATCAGGGACCTCCTCGGGCCGGAGTGCCGAGTGCACGACGCCGTTGCCAAGCGGAGTTGCACGAACAAATGCCTGGAAGGCATAAAACAAACTCTCGACAGGCCACCACTGGCCTGCACATCCTGCACCTGCCTGTGGCAGATGTTGCGATGCCACATGCCCTGGTAAGCGCGACCGCAGTGTTGTTGTGCTCATTGAAGCTAAAACACTGCCAGTTGGCCTTCAGACTGCGAATCGCCCGTGCTGCATGCTTGGTGCTCCTCTTGGTCAGGTCTTGCAAAGCAAGAACAACGCCAAAGCCTCACCACGAGCTCAGCAGCCTGAGACAGATTATCCTGTATTGCGATGAGCTTCTGCGCCTTTGGGGTGCAGACAACGGGGGGGGATAGATCAAGAAAGCAGCCACACGCAGACCACTCTCGTCAAGCCTCCAACGAGCAAAGCGCTGAATGCAGTTCTTGAAGTAAAGATGGCGGAGCAACCTCCATTAATTAGGCAAGCTGAATCGCGCAACCCTGGGCACAAACTTGATTGTGCGATGGTGGCCGACTTCCTGAACCTTGCATGAACACTTGAGTGCGAAGACACAAATGAGTGTTCAGCCCCCCCGCGCCGAACGGTTGTGGAATCTGCTATGAAGGTTTGCTGCTTTTGCACTTGCACGTGCTCTTGCATGTGCACTTGCATTTGCACTTGCTGCAGCTGCATTTGCACTTGCATTTGGGTTGCCTGTGCAGTTGCAATTGCAGCTGCTGCCCTTGTGCCCGGGCCCCATCACTCATATCTTTCCTTCATAGCGTGAAGAACAACCGGTCGTATCACCACACAACATCGTTCCAAGGTTACCACCGTCAAGTTCCGCGAGCCCGATGAGAACCTGAGCGAGGTCCTACGAGAAGCCAGCATTAACTGGCTGGCAAACTGCCTCATGAGATTTGCAACGCAGCCAACATCATCAAAAAGCACATCACCATGCACATGTAAGACTTGGCATAGCCAGAGCCGCCTCTAAGCCTTGCCTTTAGGCCACGATCTGCACAAGACAGGCAAAGTAGCAGGGGTTCAATTAGCAGCTTTGGCGGCAAACAAGACTTTCTTCGGGAAGGGCTCGGTTGGGATGGCTTCCTGAAAGGACTGATTCCCGCCCTGCCTACACACAGCGTTTAAGATAAGCCTTCTAGGGGTTGGGTTCAACAATTTCAGCACAGGGCCTAGCTCAAACTTTGGTTTGTCCTGGGAAGGGTTCGGGGGGAACTTGTCCCTAGTATGGGGTCCTTCGATCTCAATTCTGAATGCCCCAGGTTTGGAAGCAACCTTCGAGTGGTCCTAAATCCCCTGGCCGAGCCCTTCAAGTTTGGCTGGCTCGCGGGCGCCTGTTTCTTTTCTAGTGACGAATAACGCGAAGGCCTTGATCCCTAAATTTGCACGTGGTAGCAATTAGATGAAAAACAGGATTTTGCCTTCAAAACCCGTTTGGAATTCATCGGCGTATTCATTGACTGGATGAGCTAGATCAGCTAGCCTTGTCCACAAAGAAGTTTGCTGCAGGGAAATCTGCCGTTGATTTACAGAGAACCAGGCCACAGCCAGCGGACCGAATTTGAACGAAAAGAAGTCTGGAGTCGTCCGACAGTATTCAAGCACTGGGGCTGTTTGCGTGGCATGCATTCGGCATCTCAGTGTGCACGCCATCCGGCACAACTCGCCCCTGCTCTCAAAAAACATGTGTGACGAAGCTTGGAACCTGGCCACTCTTCGTAGCAGCGAAACAATCTCCTCTCTGGGTTCAGGGGGAATGTTTGCATGACGGACGCCTGAAAGCCCTGACTCTAAGGTGCAAAAAGCAGGCTCCTGGCAAATCGACCTTCAAGCTCTCCCACCGTGCGAATAAGGCCCAAGCTGATGACTTCAAGAACTGCCCGCACCTTTGGAACAACTCCACTTCCGAGGACGACATCAACAGCGAGACTCGGGAGACCACCAGACGCTCCTTGCCCAAGGCAGACCTGAGTCTTACATGACTTACGTTGCGATGTAGCGCCGATGCAACACTGCGTATGGATAGGCTTGGTTTCCCATCTGACAGCAAGAGCAGAGGAACGGCAACAGCTTTAGCACTCTGAGCTATCTGCCGCAGTGGCTGCAATTGGGCTGCAAAAAGGGCACGTGCCTTTCCACAGCGGGCTGTGACAGCGACCGAATGACTGCCTTGACTCAAGAAAGTCAGATGGTGCCTCGTCTGCCTCTTTGGCAGACCTTGCCATCACGATGCATTCGCCCTGCGCAGCTTGAAAGAGCGCGAATCCACACCGAATCCAAATGCTTGCCTCGGTATCAAAACCCACGCGCCCCGCACGCCTGGGGCATGAAATGAGAAAGCGGGGAAGATAAGGGAATGTCCTGAGGGCAGCTCCCTGCCATTTGGCGAAAACGGACAGCGTCGAGAGGATCTCTTCCAACCTGTCGAGCGCAAGAAAGATCTCGCTTTTTGAATGCCTACCACGGTTCTGGAGTCAGCTACTGAAAGGTCATGATTCGGCCAACGAGTTAAAAGAAACATGAACATGCACGCCCAGACCTGCGGCAAATCTAATAGTCATCAATGCAGACTATAAACACAGCTGCAAACACCCCGATTCTTCCTCTGCGGCCTTCTTTATGTCCAAACCCCTGAAAGCCATATGCAAGGTCATGTCAACCTTCCTTCGCTGATCAATCCAGGCCCTCATCCCCCATGCATCCTAAAAGTGCAAGACCGGAGCCAATCCACAAGTACGGCTGTAGAAATGCAGGCGCCGGCAAGGCGCAAACGCGGAACAACCGGCTCGTGGCAAAAAAACACGCACACGGCCTTCATTGATCGAATGATGACCCGCCGCGCTGGAAGGTTCACCTAGCTTCGCAGCCACGCGCAAGAGAGGTGATTTGATTGATGCATCTCTTCAGGTGATTGCTCGACCCCTTTCGGCAATAAAAGCAATGATGCTGCTCAGAAGTTGAAGTCCCTTCTTCTTCCTCTTGGCAGCGTTCCTTCCTTGCGCTGAAAGGTACCCCCGCCAACAATTGGCTTCCTTCCCCGTTGACAACCGGAGATGACTCTCAAGGCCATGCGGGAAACACTGCAGAAGCTAAAGGTTTAAAGGTGCCCCTTGTCAAAGCGACGTGTGGTTGTGGTGTGGTGGCGTGAAGAAGCAGCGGTGCCCGTGCGTACCTCACAGGAGAGGGAGGACGAAGCAGGCGTGCAAGATGCATTGTAGCCGCTCATTTTTTGACAACCCGGAGGCTTTGTTGGGAGGTTGGGAGGCCGTGTTCTGGCCATGCCTTGGCCGGAGCCGTTTTGCTACTTCCCAGCCAGGACCTGGCTCGCGGGAGGTCACCACCCTGTTGCATCCTGTTGCGCTGCAGCGGTGGTCACAGCGCATGCTGGAAATCTAGGTCCGGGTTCAAGAAGCTGCCGTGTGAGCAGTACATCTGCTGAAAAGTACTTGCGCAGCAGTGAACTGCAGTTAATGCTGCAATAACAGCTTCAGAAAGCTGAGTCCAGGAAGGGAAGCTCTGATGTCTGTTACGGCTTCGCCTTCTGATTTTTTGGGGTTGGCCAACTCCAAGGTTGCACCAAGCCTTGACGTGAATCTCTGAGTCCCGTACCCCTGCAGCCAGAGTCGACGTGGCACAGAGGCATCCTTTGTTGGACACCAACAGAAAGACATGCTGCTGGCATGCTGCACCGCTCGTGCAAGCCCAGCAACGCAGGACTCCTTTCCTGTACGCAGCCTCTAGGAGAGTACGTTCGTCTGTTGTAAGGCCTGCATGCTGCATGCATGCTGCATGCTCTGAGGGTAAGGCCATCTTGCCCTTCATACCCTTACCTGCCTGCATGATGATATGCAACACCACTGAGCCTGCATGTCGGATGTGCGAACAACACGTCCACTGGCTTCCGCACTAACTACTCTTCCACTTTCCAATAAGATCTGATAAGTGCTTGGAACTTGGAGCCGTGCACGGTCTGCGCAAGTACTGGGCACAGCCCAGAATGCCTCGGCTATTGGCACGCTGATGAGAGACGAGATGCGCCAGCTTTGTCTGCACTCCTCACAGAGGCTTTGGCGTCTGCTTCAGCTCCTCCACCAGCTGCAGCCTGAAGGCAGCACCCGCTCGAAAAGACGAATGGTCTCGCTCCGAATCAATATCCACTCAACAAGTTGTGTCAGTTGAAGGCCCTATGCCACGTCAGCGTCTGTGTCGTGCATGCGTGCAGTCAGGCGTTCAGTCATGCTCCTGTAGAGATTGCACAGCTACTGCATGTCAGGACGCATGTCCTCCCTAAAGCGGTCTGTAAGGCTGCCACCGCTGACCATGCAAAACCTGGCGCGGCAGGAAACGTCACTTCCTAGTGCTTGGACACTGCTCCGCATGCTGCCAGGTGCGGACACACCAAAGCTGCATACATTTTGACAGATGTCTGGGGCCCCTGCATCCGCAGAACCTTGCATTGGCAGGTAAATGGGTGGTCTTTCCGATTGCAAGTGATGTTCAGAAGCCGTGGCGCCTGACTTCGCCTTCTCGCTCTGATCCAATCGAGGCATTTCATCAGCTAGTAACGATGCCGCTTTTTCACACCAGTCCTGCAATAATTTAAAGCAGTGGTAGGCCAGCCATATCAGCTTTACTCTTACGCTGGTTGAGGACTGCGAGGTGAGAGGAAGTGCAAATATCAAATAGAATCCGCGCTTATTCTCATATTCCCAAAATTCCAAAACCGGTTGAGAAAAGAATTCATGCAGGAGACTTCGAACCAATCATTCGATAAGCAGGATTCGGGTGCAGCACCGTGAAATTCGTGCGGGCTCTTGGGCTATGGTTCCTGAATGTATGCAGTTCCCGAATCACGCTAGCGATTTGGACTTGGTGATTTGTCGAGCTTCTCGAATTGGGCACGCTGCTGGAATTGTTACCCTCAGCGCAGGCCTCCACATCACAAAATTCAACCATGGCATTTCTTCACCCGGGAATTGCTGAGGAAGGGAAAAACTCATTGTCAATAATCTGGATGAAGAAGGCGCAGCCCTTTGGATGAATGGCAGAGATTGGCCGACACGTAAAAGCAAGCTTCCCTCCAGGGCTGCGAGACTTGATGAACCGGACAGGACTTCACCGAAGGGTTCCCAAGAACTGCATGTGTGTATGAGCTGGGAGGGTCTGAGATCAGCAATTCTCATGGCACACATGAAAAAAGCTTGTGCGACCGCGAAAACCTTAAAGCCAAAGCTATTGCTCTAGGCCCGGTTTTGAAATGTTTGCATCACAGGCAACTTGTCCGCATTCTGCTGTGGCGGCATGTGGGGGTTCTCAAAGTGATGGGGCCATAGGCAGGAAATGTAGGAAATGACGATGATGCAAGCAGAGATATGCAGTACAAAGGCCAGGCGCTCGAAACTGAGGATTCTCAAAGTCTTGCAAGAAATATGACAACCACCCATGTCTTTTTGTGCTGCCCCACTGCCACTTTGCAGTCAGCAAAGAACGGACACGTCAAGGACACTAAGGCGTATCAGCGAACGACTCCGCAGCCTTGTACACTCGAGCACACACCAATCCCCCCACACTGGCAGTCCACAAGCCAAGTCTGGAGATTCTTAAATGGTCAAGCTACATCTCTAGCAACCCACATGCTGGTGCGACTCACAAACCGCGCATCAAGTGAAAAAATGAATCCCTCAGTTTGCCTTCGTGGCACAGAATACGAGGACAGACTGCTGCATAGAGACGCACTCCTTCAGTCACTTATTTCGTGCGCGGGGCAACGAATTGCGCCCAGAAGTGCAAGATGCGCAAGTTCATCAGCAATTAAGATGTGCACCCAAACCAAAGGTACGAGTCCATCCGGATCGCGGCAGTTCTTCTGCTGAAGCCTTGCGGCCTGCCCCAGAAGACTGGCTGAGCAAACACATTGGACACTGCACGATGGTGTTGAATCCCTTGGCTGGTCACGCAGTCATACACAAACTCTGCGTTCGCAGGCAGGAACTTGCTTTTGATATCACATCTCACCATCATACCATGCAAAGGCAAACATTGCCAGGAGCAGCACGTAGCAGTGGTTTTAGACTGAATTACCGCATATGCCACCCCTTGCATCAAATGCATCAGCGAAGGAACGATCTTCATGAGGCAAACCTGAAGCCTGTAAAATGATGTGGAAGCATGACGTCATCATACGTCATCATGCGTTATCTGCACTTGAGTCTTCACCGGTGCTTGGCCGTCACATTAAGAAGCTCTGATCGGTCAGCCTGTGCCTGCATGCCCTGGCAGAAGACCTTTGCGGCATACAGATCTATGGGGGAGCACATCAAAGCTCCATCTGGGGCCCAGGCTTGACCCTTCATGGCGACTGAAAGGCTGAGCGGCACAGGCCGGTCGTTGCTCACGTATAGCCTAGCCCCCAACCAGTCCTCCAGCGAAATGCGTTGTAATCGCAGCTTGCTGAACTGGCAAGCATTGGCCTAGCCAACTCAAAGTGCGGTCCGCCAGGAGCTGCACGTTAGGAAGCGTCGCTGACATGCCGATGATCTGGAGCCCAGCACCTGTCAATGCACATCCTTGAAAGCAGACAAATGCATCTCCTCTGCAAACAGCCGGAGTGACCACCGCCTGCATCCGCAGCCTCAACTTGCGTAGATTGATTGCACAGAGCTTCTTCACGTTCATGATTGTTCAATGGAAGAATTTAAAGTTAAAGCTTCTCAGGCCTGCGCCATGTCAGCACTCAGCCTTGCCTTGACCATTATGAGCTCTAGCAAGTAGCCTCGATGTTCCTGAAAGCGTGCTGAAAACGTGCAGTGTTCTGGACCCTAATCACTAATCTAAGGCCTCACCAAGCAGGTGCATCTCGTCCACAACAACCTTGCAAAGTCAGGTGCTTTTGCGATTCACTTTTCAGGCATCACACTTGCTAGGCTCATACGACCATTGACTGGATAACTGCAACTTGCGCCTTTCCTTGGAAAATGCCAATTATGGAATTAGTTGCAAACGCCCCGCGAAAGAAGTACGCAAAGCCCCGCAGCATGCACCTAGTTACGGCAATTCGCCAATTCGCTGCTGTCCAGCCCTCTACACCAAAACGTAGTCGAAGGATCTGGCCCCGCAATCTATCAGAGGCGTCCATGCAGATTATGCAAATTCTACCTGCATTGGTTGTGCAGTCTGGCAGCTACGCCGATGTCACGTAGAAGTGCATCCTCCTGCCGCGTCATGTCCGGCTTCTTGCCAAGTGCGATTGCTCATTCAACCGCACTTGCCCCTGGTAATTTATCATCACCTTCGATGTGCCTCAAGCAACCGGTTCAAAAGGGCACTAGCTTTCTCGATGGTGCACACGGCCACATCTGCACCGCTATGCCACCTTGATGGCAAACTCAAAACGTGACAACGAGACGCTCAACACAACTTCTCAGGCGAGCACTTCCCGTCTGATGCAGAATAGAGCCCTTCCACCCGGAGACCTGCACAGCACACAAATTGCAGGTGAAAGGGATAGAAAGACCAGGTCTGCGACCGCATGCCCCAAAGGTCTGCCGAAGCTTCTGGACCTTTTCCACGCAGATTGACACCTCACAGAGGTGTACGCAGAAGGGGTTCGGAACAGGGAAATGATCCTTCTACGGTAGGGCATCTACAAACGGCAGAATCAGAAGAGCGCGACGGCCGTGAAACAGAAGTTGCCGCAGCATCAACACCTGCGCGGAATGGGCCGAATGAGCCGTTGTTGAATAGCTGCTTTCTAGGTACCCAGGCGCACCCCCTGGCGCCTGGTGGTTTCCGGGTGTTTTCATTCTCCGCAGCAGCCGACACAGCCGCAGCAGAGCCAGCAGCT